AATAAATTTATTGTAATTTTTTATAATTTTTTTAAAAAATAATCTAAAAAATTATTATATATTTTAAAATATTATATGGCATAAAAAAAAGCTCTCAGCCACGACATCAAATGCACCCTAAATATAGCCAATTTGGAATTTTGGATGCTAAAAGTTACTTTCAAATTTGGACAACATCACGGGTGGGGCATTTGGAAAGGAAAGAGTTGGGACCCTCGGAATCAGCCAATAATATCCCTAATGTGAACAAAAGAAAAAGGAATATGACATCAGCAGAGCTTGTCCATTGCCAAGCTGAAACATTATCAGCTCAAATATTCCAGCTAAGCCCGCAAGCAAGCCGAACCTCACAATTAAGATGCTTGAGAAATTTATTACTCCACGTACAGGCACCTATCCATCTGACTTTTGTTTCGGGCACGCCGCGATAGCCTCACATCCGCCACATCTCTTTCTTTTTCGTCTACGTAATGGCATAATTACCATTATTTTTCCGCAAAATCCAAATTTTATTTGAGGGCATTTTTGACTTTAAAGTAACTGTCGCTTTCAACGGAAAGTTGCATTGTCCAAATCGGAGAGTTTGTGTACCGAAGCCAGCTGTTCCTGTTTTGTCCGTTACTGACAGGTGAGGGTGAGGCCATTTTTTGTAGTTAAAAAATTTTTCAACGATTTTACGTATCCCCTGCGCGAGGAAGATTAGAAAACAACATTTTCTTTTACCTGCGATCTGCTTGGTAAAGTTTGATTTTTAGATTTTGATTTTCACTGTTTTTATATTTGATAAGTAGTATTATATTTAGAAATAATTTTTTAATAAAAATTATAATTTAATTAATTTAATCTAAAAATAATATTAATTTTTTAGTATATAAATAGTAAAAATTAAAAATTAAGTTTACACTAAATAGAATCTTAACTAATTAATAAATTTAGAGCACCTCTATTTCAATAATATAATAAATTTACTTCAATAAAATACTTAAACTCTAAAATTATACCTATTTATAAGTAAATGTTATCTTATATGATCAATTTATATTAATGTAAATTACACTTTACATTAGACAATAATTTTTTTATCCTTTGTATTTTAACAAATCAATTATTAGACTTAATATTGTCAACAATCTATTTAATTCAATGATAATTTCTTTTTGTTAAAAGTAAAAGATTTTGAATTTAAGTCGTATGATATGTAAATGGAATAAAATAAAAAATAAAAAAAAGTTATCTCTTATTGTGCAATTAAAATAAAAAAATATTAGATTTAACATTTTTATTTATATAAATTATGCATATAAATCATGCACACTAAATTTCAAATTAATAGGTGTGTTTAATTATTTCATAATAAGATAGGTTTTCTTTATTTATACAATGTTATACAACACCTTACCTATAGTCATAATTTTTTTTTT